TGTTTATAGCATGCACGGCTAGTGTGTTACCCTGTACATTCCGTCAGGCTATAGTTTCTGTTTATAACATGCACGACTAGTGTATTACTCTGTACATTACGTCAGTCTATAGTCTCTGTTTTAACATGCACGGCTAGTGTATTACTCTGTAGATTACGTCAGTCTATAGTTTCTGTTTATAACATGCACGGCTAGTGTGTTACTCTGTAATTTCGTCAGTCTATAGTCTCTGTTTTAACATGCACGGCTAGTGTATTACCCTGTACATTACGTCAGTCTATAGTCTCTGTTTTAACATGCACGGCTAGTGTATTACTCTGTAGATTACGTCAGTCTATAGTCTCTGTTTATAACATGCACGGCTAGTGTATTACTCTGTACATTACGTCAGTCTATAGTCTCTGTTTTAACATGCACGGCTAGTGTGTTACCCTGTACATTACGTCAGTCTATAGTTTCTGTTTATAACAGGCGGGGCTAGTGTATTACTCTGTACATTACGTCAGTCTATAGTCTATGTTTTAACATGCACGGCTAGTGTATTAATCTGTACATTACGTCAGTCTATAGTCTCAATTTTTAACATGCACGGCTAGTGTATTACTCTGTAGATTACGTCAGTCTATAGTTTCTGTTTTAACATGCACGGCTAGTGTGTTACTCTGTAATTTCGTCAGTCTATAGTTTCTGTTTTAACATGCACGGCTAGCGTATTATTCTGTAGATTACGTCAGTCTATCTGTTTTAACATGCACTAGTGGCTGTATTACTAGTGTACTTTATATTACGTCAGTCTATAGTTTCTGTTTATAACACGCACGACTAGTGTATTACTCTGTACATTACGTCAGTCTATAGTCTCTGTGTTAACATGCACGGCTAGTGTGTTACCCTGTACATTCCGTCAGTCTATAGTTTCTGTTGATAACATGCACGGTTAGTGTGTTACCCTGTAGATTACGTCAGTCTATAGTGTCTGTTATCAAGATAGCACACAGACATACTAAACCAGAGGAGACGTATCAAGATAGCACACAGACATCCTAAACCAGAGGAGACATATCAAGATAGCACACAGACATACTAAACCAGAGGAGACATATCAAGATAGCACACAGACATACTAAACCAGAGGAGACATATCAAGATAGCACACAGACATCCTAAACCAGAGGAGACATATCAAGATAGCACACAGACATACTAAACCAGAGGAGACATATCAAGATAGCACACAGACATACTAAACCAGAGGAGACGTATCAAGATAGCACAGACATACTAAACCAGAGGAGACATATCAAGATAGCACACAGACATACTAAACCAGAGGAGACATATCAAGATAGCACACAGACATACTAAACCAGAGGAGACATATCAAGATAGCACACAGACATACTAAACCAGAGGAGACATATCAAGATAGCACACAGACATGCTAAACCAGAGGAGACATATCAAGATAGCACACAGACATACTAAACCAGAGGAGACATATCAAGATAGCACACAGACATACTAAACCAGAGGAGACATATCAAGATAGCACACAGACATACTAAACCAGAGGAGACATATCAAGATAGCACACAGACATACTAAACCAGAGGAGACATATCAAGATAGCACACAGACGTACTAAACCAGAGGAGACATATCAAGATAGCACACAGACATACTAAACCAGAGGAGACGTATCAAGATAGCACACAGACATACTAAACCAGAGGAGACATATCAAGATAGCACACAGACGTACTAAACCAGAGGAGACATATCAAAATAGCACACATGCATCGGAAACCAGAGGAGACGTATCAAGATAGCACACAGACGTACTAAACCAGAGGAGACATATCAAGATAGCACACAGACATACTAAACCAGAGGAGACATATCAAGATAGCACACAGACATACTAAACCAGAGGAGACATATCAAGATAGCACACAGACATACTAAACCAGAGGAGACATATCAAGATAGCACACAGACATACTAAACCAGAGGAGACATATCAAGATAGCACACAGACATACTAAACCAGAGGAGACATATCAAGATAGCACACAGACATACTAAACCAGAGGAGACGTATCAAGATAGCACAGACATACTAAACCAGAGGAGACATATCAAGATAGCACACAGACATACTAAACCAGAGGAGACATATCAAGATAGCACACAGACATACTTAACCAGAGGAGACATATCAAGATAGCACACAGACATCCTTAACCAGAGGAGACATATCAAGATAGCACACAGACATACTAAACCAGAGGAGACATATCAAGATAGCACACAGACATACTAAACCAGAGGAGACATATCAAGATAGCACACAGACATACTAAACCAGAGGAGACATATCAAGATAGCACACAGACTACCAAAACCAGAGGATACATATCAAGATTGCACACAGACATCCTCAACCAGAGGAGACATACCAAGATAGCACACAGACATCCTTAACCAGAGGAGACATATCAAGATAGCACACAGACGTACTAAACCAGAGGAGACATATCAAGATAGCACACAGACATACTAAACCAAAGGAGACATATCAAGATAGCACACAGACATACTAAACTAGAGGAGACATATCAAGATAGCACACAGACATACTAAACCAGAGGAGACATATCAAGATAGCACACAGACATACTAAACCAGAGGAGACATATCAAGATAGCACACAGACATCCAAAACAGAGGAGACATATAGCACACAGACATACTAAACCAGAGGAGACATATCAAGATAGCACACAGACATACTAAACCAGAGGAGACATATCAAGATAGCACACAGACATACTAAACCAGAGGAGACATATCAAGATAGCACACAGACATACTAAACCAGAGGAGACATATCAAGATAGCACACAGACATACTAAACCAGAGGAGACATATCAAGATAGCACATATATCTATCACACAGAAGTTTTTCGCCTTTTAATATATAGAGAACAGCTGTGATTCATAGCGTAGGTGTGGAGAAAAATGTCGCTTATGTCATTGCAAACAATATTTATTTAGCATTTATCATCAATATTTCTCATCATCGCAGCTCACAGCATGTTGGTGGGTTCAGTTTTGAATTTTGCAACGTTGACACATTTAATATAAAGGAAGCAAATTGGAGAATTGTCTTCAGAAACGTGTATGACTGGCAATACAATATCACACCGAATCTGACATAACTGACTTACAACTGTCAAGCATGCTTGTAAAAAATCTGTCTTCCACACTGAGAAAACAGGACGTTGCTTTTCATTTTGCATGATGTTTGCCAGTTTCCATGCGTCACATGTCTTGTTAGAAAGCATCATCAAAATTCTAGGTGTTGTGCTGTCATCATCATTACTTTTTAGATGGTGACAGTAAAACATGGAATTTCAATGATGGTCAGATCAACTTTAGTATATCAAAGTAATTGACATAATAGATCGTATTCTGTTGACAATTTTCTGTTTTGAAATTTTCCTATATAGATAAGGAGCAGCTATAAACATTAATGTTAAGTCAATGTAGTTAAAAATTGTTGATGTAGTAGTATGTGATAGATGCATTTGATTGGAGACAGGTAGGCTGGGGTGTGCTGATACCTTATGTAATTGATGATTATATAAACAACATACCACTGGTCTGGATTTACCTTTGGGTTTGAGGATTGAACTTCACAAAATGGTACACTTTTGAGTCTTTGATGACTGGAACAATGACTGTTTCTTTCCACACACATCCACAGGCCAAGATGTCAATTATGAAACACAGGTTGGTGATTGGCTATGCCAGCACTTCATAATCTAACACTAGCAAACAATAAATTTGGGACAGAGCTACATTGCATCTTTTCGCATCCACCAATTTTCAAAGACAAGCAATTACCTTCAATAAACCAGGTAATATTTACACAACCCATTTTATTGTGTCTGACTCCAATTTACAGGAAATGAATTTTGAAAATGCACTACAATTAATGTGTATGTTTTTTTCTTTTTATTGATTATAAATATTTGCACAATAAACAAGAGACATCTTATATAACATCAAGAGAAAAGGAATAATTTCTGCTCACTCAAAACACTTTGAAAACACCTGTAAAATATGATTTGAACTAAGCTGAATGTTCATTGTAATATCATGTTATGTAAAACAATAAAACACCAACTTTGTTTCCTTGGATAGAGGAAGAAACATTCCTTTTACATTATGCCCCAAAAAAATCAAATATTGAATGTGCAACTTTTCCCTTGTACAACCAACATAGACTTTGTGATTGTTAATACAATAGGATGTAATTCAATCACAAATCACAAGTTGTTCTGTGAAATGATGCCATTATGACAGTGATTACGTATCTATATCAATAAAGTCCATGCAAGGATGAAAAACAAATGAATGTTCACACTTTTTTTAACATTCAGTGATTGAAGCCTACTTCCTGTTTAGCTCATATCATTATTGATGCAAGATGTAGCTCAACCCCTAATCCATTGAAACATCATTTCAGTCATCAAAGACATGTGTATCGGTTCTTGTACTTCTCAAACATTGTCCCTTTACCTTAATCTCAAAGGTAATCTTGGTGTCATGGGGGTTAAGATTTTAGGTGTTTCTAGCCCCCTTGGTGACCAAAAGGAGATAATTTGAAGTGATATATCACAGTTAAGTGTCAGAAGCTACAGTTTTGAGGGCAGATTTCATCCAAACTTTTAACAAAAAAGAATTCTGAGTTAATTGTTAATAAAGATCCTTGTAGAAATCAAGTAGAACTTCCAGGGAACAGAGGTTGGCATGGCCAAATGGTGAGGAATATGTGTAGGGCTGGTCTTGAACTAAGTGTATAGAAATAGGTATTAGAACTCACAGAACTCAACTGTATGTCTCTCTGATGTGTCACTAAATGAATTCAATATAATTCACTTACTTACATATATATATATATGGCCAATAAAGTGCACTAAGTAAAGTCTATATGGCAGAGCATAAAAAGATACAGTAAGAACTGAAGAAAGGTTGGAAACTCCAACCAATCATATACCAGCTCAGTCTGAACTATAAAGATGTTATGTTGATTTTCTTTTCTGTCGTCTGTCCATTGATTCCACACTAATGAAAAAAAGCTCATAGGTCAGAATAATTCAGACTACATATACTGTAGTTTGTACATGCAAGAGCAGCCGCTTGCTTAGCATGAAGAGACAAAGAAACTATATACTACAAGAATATTGGAGGATTCATAACTTCTAGGATCTAATCCCAGGATCATAACATTGAAGTGGTACTCTCACTCTCTTACCATATATCAACATAGAGTTTGCAAAGATTTAAAAAAAAACATATAAAAACAAGTGCTTATCCCTACTATAGTCTTGAGAAACATACCTGTGACCTGATGTAAAAGCTTGATCACAGTGTCAGATCTCAACCTATAAGCATACTCTGAATTGATTGCTTTTGAGATACACTAAATATGTGTTCATGTACATACATCAATACACAAGAGAATTATTATAGCTTAAAATGACAACATGTCCATTATGAAAAACTAGTGACTGAGAAATGATACTTCTGTTTTGTATATTTTCAGTCCAGTGATTGTCTGAGAAATGATATATTTCCTTTTTGTATATTTTCAGTTTGGTTATGTATCCAGAGTTGTTTGATGACCTAGTTATTCATATTAACTACTTCACGTTTCTCATGATTCCGTTTTCAACAGGTAAGTATTCATGTACTCCATATGATAGGTGGTATACAATTGTAGTGAGCCTTTGATATTGATTGACAGTTACTATTTCCCTGAGATGTTGTGTCCAGCCTGAAGGGAAAATTGACTCAGACTGTTGACTAGCAAGACATGAAATAACTGTTTTGATACATCGATGATACAAATTCTGTTTTGGGATTATGTAGCCATTCTGATCATTAAGTAGCCATCCTGATCAATGTTGTATGTTTACACAATTCTGTTCAGAAAGATGCTTAACTATAATCATTTTAATGCTTGGATTTTATTCAAATAGTCCATGCTGGTCAACATTTTTAATTATCATCAGTAGTTTTTGATTGTTAAGATTATCAAGCATTTTGCTGTAAAGATTTTATATCAGCTTTTACATAGTCAGGTAACAATGAAATTAGTTTGACAGCCAGGTACGTAAAGCTGGATTTGTTTGGTCCATAATCATCAACTGGTTAATCTGAAATCATCCTTGGTCTGTGGTACATGATCTGTTTGTTCATCCATCTGTCCATCACATCCATCCTTCCATTCCTCAGGTTAATGTCCTTCCTAAAACAGTTCTTGTTTGTTACTTTTTCTTTTGAAATATTTGATGTCTCTACTTGACCCTGTGTTGAGACCCTTTGAGACTGCTTGGAATAAACAGAAAGATTATGAAGAATTGTTCAGGAAAACCATAAATGGATCTGTCTCAGATTTCCTATGTAAGTTTCTGTGATCTCTTAACTTCGCAGACTGAATGGTAAACAAAATTGCCAACAATTGGCCACCTGGGTAGTTATGACAATTTCAATTTTTCCCCCACCCTCATCAGATGGTGGGCTATTCAAATCACCTTTATTCCATCGTTCATCTGTAAACAATTTTTTTATCACCATTTCTTGAGAATATTGGACGGATCTTTCTCATATTTCATATGTAGGTTCCCCTTGGTCCCTAGTTGTGCCCATTTGATTTGGGTCAGATCGGAAACACAAAGTGGCGGACAAGTGGCCATCTTGGATTTTGACTTTAAAGTTTGTTATCACAATTTCATAGAAACACTCCATGCTCCTTCTCTAAAGAATTTCCTTTGTAGGTTTCCCTTCGTCTAGTTGTGCCCATGTGTTTTGGACTGTTTGGTCTGTCTGTTCTTAAACAATTTTTTGTTGTTGCTATTTCTTGAGAAGTACTTTAAGATCTCTCTCACATTTTCTAAGTAAGCTCTTTGTCTGTAGTCGTGCCCACTCGATTTTGGGACTGATCAAGAAAACCAAATGACAGACAGGTGGCCATCTTTGATTTTGAATTTGCAGGATTGTTATCAGTATATCTTGAGAAGTACTGGATAGATCTTTCTTAAATTTCAGGTGTATGTTCCCTTGATCCCTAGTTGAGCCTGTTTGGTTTTCAATCTGATCAGAATACGAATATGGCCAACAGGCAGCCATCTTGGATTTTGACTTTGAAAGTTTGTTCCTAGTATTTCTTGAGCAAAATAGCATAGATCTTTCTCAAATTTTATGTATAGGTTCTTCATGGTCCCTAGTTGTGCCTGTTTGAGTTTGGGACTGATCAGAAAAGCAAAATGGCAGATAGACAGCCATCTTAGATTTCACCTAGTGAAAATTGTTATCCGATTTTCTTAAGAAGTACGGAATGGATATCTCTCAAATTTCAAACGGATGTTCTATTAATCTCTACTTGTACTCATTTGATTTTTGGACTGATCAGAAGAAACAAAATGGCTTTCAAGCGACCATTTTGAATTTGGCAAGTACAGATTATCATGGCTATTTCTGTAAGGGAACGTTCAAATGCCTTATCATTAAGAGCAAAAACACAGAAGAGGAGAGAAAAGAAGGGAAAAATCCAACTTTCAAAGAACAAATAAAGGTCAAACAATGGCAGGCACAGGATTCCTTTAGGGTCACTTGGGTTTTCTTTTTTTTTATGGCAAATTTCTTTTGAATATTTCTTTTGGACACTTGTTTGATTTTAATTTTAAAACTTATTTGAGAGAAAAAACGCTGTTTCTTTGGAAGTGCCTGATTAGTCCTTCAAATTACACATGATTTGCATTGGTTTCATGTTGTACCTTTAAAATTTTTGTACAGAATGGAGAGAAATATCTTCATAGTTTTATCTGATTTGTAGTGAAAAATCTGTTCAGTAAAATTCCAGTGAGCACTTGGGTTAATTGTTTGGAAAATTCAAGATGGATAAGAGTAGACCACGACAAAAACTAATAAATTGCATACAGTGTATGTGATAAATAGAAGTGGCTTGTCAAAACCTTTTAACAGAATGGATTGTGAACTTCCAACCTGTTGATTTGTTAAAGTTATCATAAGGTATACATAAGTAGCATTAACATACTGACACAAAATTTCTTGTTTGAGAAAATGAAAACACTAAAAAGTGTTATTGATAACTTATTGATTTAAATCAGCCTACTTTATATCTCATGGTATTGATCACATAGGCTCTTACTTAGTACCTACTTAATTATATTCTCTTTCCTGTTTTTCAGGGTATTTTCTGTATGATTCCATTGATATGCTGATCAACAAAAAACTACGTCAAAATTGGGAGGTCACCATCCATCATATTGCTGTAAGTTTTATGAAAAATATTTTGTTAATAAATACATGTCATACTCTCAGTCAGGGAATATATACATGTCATACTCTCAGTCAGGGAATACATACATGTCATACTCCGAGTCAGGGAATATATACATGTCATACTCTCAGTCAGGGAATATATACATGTCATTCTCCGAGTCAGGGAATATATACATGTCACATACTCCGAGTCAGGGAATATATATATGTCATACTCTCAGTCAGGGAATATATACATGTCATACTCCCAGTCAGGGAATATATACATGTCATACTCTCAGAGAATATATACATGTCATACTCCCAGTCAGGGAATATATACATGTCATACTCCCAGTCAGGGAATATATACATGTCATACTCCCAGTCTGGGAATATATACATGTCATACTCTCAGTCAGGGAATATATAAATGTCATACTCTCAGTCAGGGAATGTCATACTCTCAGTCAGGGAATGTCATACTTCCAGTTAGGGAATATATACATGTCATACTCTCAGTCAGGAAATAAATACACGTCATACTCCCAGGCAGGGAATATATACATATCATACTGCCAGTCAGGGAATATATACATGTCATACTCCCAGTCAGGGAATATATACATGTCATACTCCCAGTCAGGGAATATATACATGTCATACTCCCAGTCAGGGAATATATACATGTCATACTCCCAACCAGGGAATATATACTTGTCATACTCCCAGTCAGGGAATATATAAATGTCATACTCCCAGTCAGGGAATATATAAATGTCATACTCTCAGTCAGGGAATGTCATACTCTCAGTCAGGGAATGTCATACTCCCAGTTAGGGAATAGATACATGTCATACTCCGAATCCAGGAATATATACATGTCATACTCCCAATTAGTGAATATATACATGTTAACTCCCAGTCAGGGAATATATACATGTCATACTCCCAGTCAGGGAATATATACATGTCATACTCTCAGTCAGGGAATATATACATGTCATACTCCCAGTCAGGAAATATATACATGTCATACTCTCAGTCAGGGAATATACATGTCATACTCCCAGTCAGGGAATATATACATGTCATACTCCCAGTCAGGGAATATATACATGTCATACTCCCAGTCAGGGAATACAGAGAATGGTAATGTCTAACACAGAATTTCATGGTATGGATTGTTCTCTTGATTGTGAAGTAATACAAGCAACATAGACTAATAATGTTAGGGTGAATGTTGTGTTTGTTTATGTTCATCTTCTCTGTAATTTCCAAATGTCTTCTTAGAGACCTGGAGATTCAGAAATGAAATAATATTTTTGATACATTCGTTTTTTGGGTTTGTTATTTTCTGTCCCATATTTAGATTTCTAAATGAAAATAGGACTAGCGTTTTTTACATGTCTTTGTTCACAGGTGGCGTCCATGTTTTGGTTCAATTTCCAACAGAAGTTGTGCATCGGCTATAACGTTTTGGCACTAATGGCTGAAATAAACAGCTTTTTCCTGCATACACGAAAGTTGTTACAGATGATGAAGGTTGATTATAACTCTACATTTTATAAACTTGTGTGCCTCTGTAATATAGGAACGTTTTCTGTATTTCGAGGTTACTCCAACGTTAGAATATTGGTTGGAATGTACATTGAATTTGACAGAGTCCCAAAGTTTTACTTCAAATGTCTAACAATGTCTATGACTTGTATGTCTCTTATAAACATTATTCTCTTCTGGAGGCTGCTGAAGAGTGATTTCCTGCGTAATCGGGTAAAACAGCCTGTTAACTCAACCGTTAAACCAATCAATCCTGAAAATAACATAAATGGTAACCGCCACACAGCACATATGAAAGTGGAATAATATATAGATTTGAAAATATGAGTGAAAATTAAAAGTGCAGAGCTGTGATTAAGTCTACAAATGAAGAAAAGTTTGAAGGCGTTGTATCAAATACTTAATGTATTTCAAGTAAATTGAATAGTCTGTTATTATAAGATGGAACTTTTATTTTATGGAGAGAAAGGATGCAGAAAAAGGAGAAATATGTCATAATTTTTATTACTGTGATGTACTTTAAGCTTTAGCTGCAGCATTACTTAATATTTTAGTAAGAATGAAGGTAAAAAGATCTATTAACAGAGACTATACTAACAAGTGTTTTATCATAATAATAATCAAAGATCTGGTTTGTATGCAACAAATACCTTCGTAGTGTTTGGAAATCAATTACTACAAGTAATACTGGATGTTCATAGAATTCTTTTTTTAAGGAATTCAAGGTACATGGTGCAGAAGATATTTCAAATAGTTACCAGGAACAAGTAGATACGAATAGATGTCATGTATATATATATATGTGTGTACTTTTTATTTTTAATATTTGAGTTTGATTCATCTTGATCATGCATTTGATAATGACTAGATACCATCAGTGAAGTTGTAAACAGTATGATAGATTGTTTGATGTGAATCAGTTTTCTATTTGTGTTGTACAATACTGCTTGTCTCATTTAAGACTTTGTAGAACAAAACTAAATATGTCTAGGTATATGTTCAGATTGGATGTGCCAATATTTTTATCTAGATTCCAAGATGATTCTGAAGATGTCTTTATTGTTGACAGTGTTTATACCAGACATTTATCATAAGTAAATGCAATGTTTCATTATTTACAGATAATCTCCATAATCATTTCCTTTTGTTTCATCAAATAAGTTTATGATAAAATTTAAAGAAAATGCCTTGTAAAAATGGTTGTCAGTTTAATTTTTTTTTCTTATAAAATTACACCTTTTATTTGTGGCAAGAAATTGGCAAATAACAACATCCCTTCTTGTATTAAGTTGATTGTATAAAGAGATTAAGTTTAACTGAACATTTCAGTTCCCCAACAATGAAAGTTGTTACTGCTCTGTATATTCTTTGAATAAACAAAATGGGAAATTAGGGTTACAAATCTTTAAACTATTTTTCTAGAAATATAGCATGTTTATGGTTCTTCTGTAACATGACTTTTTGTCAGTTCTTTGACTGCTGCTAGAAGGAGATGTTGGCATGACAAACTTATTGTCTGTTACTGAAGTGTGAGATGAAGTCTGACTTACACATCTAAGTACAGTACTTCAATTTTTTTTAATACTTAATCCTATTACATCACTATCCATAATTCTGTTAGCCTGTTGCTAGTAGAAATTGATATTGAAAATACATTATCATAAGTATCAGTTATTTCATTTCTTTAAGATAAAAAGTTCAGACTTTTTTGAGTCTGTTTTATGCTTCATGTTCCATGACTGTTTACTGAAGTGAAATAACAAACTTGTCAGATAGGATTGAGTATGCCAAAACTTTTTTAACATAAAACATAACATCAAATGAAATAGGCAAAATTCAGCAGCATAATTAATGTGGTTGGTGTGTGGGAACAAAAGAATTAAACATTAAAATGTAATTGGGTAATTAATGAGGTATCAATAATAATAAGGAAACACCAATTTGCTTTCATTAAAAAAAAGGTCACAGTCAAATTCAGTATTTGTTAGAAATCTTAATACCATGGCCAATGTCTAGAAAACCATATTACTACAGCATAGATTCAGGCCTACATTGACTAGAATCCGCTTCAACATTTGTGTTATTGAGTGACCCAATCAAAACGACTTAGATCTGTACGATGGAATGTCTTTACCTCAACATAGTAATCGATCTTCAAAGATACTTTTTTTTCAGTTGCTACACTTTGATATGAAATAAAGGCATGGTTAGTATGACCTTGAGAGGTGAAGTTTAGAACAGAGAGGGTAACAATCTCCAGTAGGAAAAGATTTTACAATTGATTATTAAAGATCAAACTGGATCAGTATAAAATATTTTTATTATTTACCATGATTTAAGGAACTGTTTTCAGTCAATGTGTCAATTCCTCACATATTTTTGCATGTTATGGTTGAAAAGGATCATTGCTGTGACATGAAGACAAATTGATGTTTTGAATGTTGAATGGAGTTCATGATTTTTGACATTTGTTGAAGATTATGAGGTTTGCATTGGTGTTAAACAAAATGACAACAACTATTTCTAAGGACTAAAGAATGTCTCTATTACTTTTACCTGGTAATATCATTGCTTGTGTATTTAAAGTGAAAGTTTGAAAAGAAAGGAAGTGAAATGGAGAGAGAGTTAAATAGAGTGTTACATATTGTTTTACATGGTTACACAATAGAAATGTTGTTAGTTGTATGTGATGAATGGTTTAAAGTACATTTATTTTTATTTTCCTAATTTTTGTAAGATGTATAGATACTGATAGATTTCTAGATGTAAAGGTATAGATTTATGTGTTCTATTTATGTAGAAGTAGAGGCCTTCAGTCCTTGCATGTATATAATAAAATTGTTTTGTACAAACTTACAAGTAAATTATATATTGCTATATACGTGTGCTGTTACCTGTGTTTGATCATCCCTTATGAACCTATTTGTATTTATCAATATGATACATTGTACAGCCAGCATTTTTTTTTGTCCAAACAAGTTCACTCCATCCCTTTTGCTTGTTTATTTCTTAACAAAAATAAGAGAATAATTAGCCATGAGCAGTAATAATTAGTAGGCCTTTAAAGCGAAAATTATTTAGTCACAAGTCTCTTTATTTTTGCTGAGATCATTGTCCCTGGGCAAGTTTGTCTGTTCTGAAGTGTAGACAATTGAAATACTGTCCCATTTCATACTTATGAAAAAGCACAATGTGCTTATAATTTATCATGGAATTTTTTCCCTATGTTTCTGATCAAAAAGAAATATTCTCTGAAACAAGTTTTCCATGTTCACAATTCACAATGAAATAGGAATTTAACTTATTTCCCTTTGCAAGTGAAAACTACTTTCAGCTCAAGATGTATTTTTAGAAATCTTTTGTATGTTTCAATTCTTGGGTTTCTGTAACTGAAAAGGAATGAGCTCCATGAACCTTACATTATGAAAATAATATATTCAAGTAATTTTTAGATTAGAGTTGGTATATCTAGTGATTTATCAACATTGTATAACATTTCATTGTGTGCTATTCATAACAAAGTATTTTTATATATTGTTTTTTATCACTCCCAGCTTTCAGCTTACATATTTTGTATAACATTAAGTCTTTCTTCTTCAATGTATTGGCCATGTATAGAATCCCTATTTTGTTAAGTATATATAAAGATACTTAGGAACTAGTTACGTCCATTATAAGGATATGTTATTCTCCTTTACAGTACTTGATATATCATGTTGCACCAGATTCAGTATATTATCAGATATTTTAACAAAATAATACTTCCAAGGAGAGAATGGAACAAACACTATTCCGCCTTATTAAACCATGAAGCCATTAGATATAGCCTTACCGTTAGTTAATTATTTTTTTGTGAAAATGTTAAGTAAATGAATTGGCCTATTGTTTTCTTCACCAATGAGAGTGTTCTTACTATATAGTTATATACGGCTCTTACAAGCCTTGTGTCTTGAACGTTATCATAAATTACTGAATTCAGTTAATTTTGGCAGAAATGTACCTGTTTTCAAAGGACCATGTATAATTCCGCATAAAATCTTGGAAAGGTCATCCTTATGACTTTCATTAAACCAGTCAAGTTACAAATATTGAATTGATTTTGATGTTGATAAAGTATATATAGTGTTGATACTTATATACTTATATATTACATGAAAACTAATACCAAGGGCGCCTTTATTCTGTTCTGTATACATAAATCTATATTAACACTTCAAAACTTACCTACCCAGTACTTTACAGCTACTTTATGTCAAATTATCACTTCTGTAGAGACATTTTCAAATTTTCAAACATTTCTGTACATTCTATTATATTTCAAATTTTCATTTCCAATTATAGTGTTTTTTTCTTTCATAAATTTAGATTTATACATTGAAAAGAGTTGTCTCCCTTGCACCATTTAGTCTCAACTCGGTATTTAATCGAGACAGAAGTGGAATTATTAAACAAATATTCTCGTTACAGGAAACAAAAAACAAGATAACTTCAATATTGGACTGATTTTGGTTTAAAGGGCAAACATTTTGAAATAAACAAGCTGAGTATATTAGAAATATTTTATTTAGTTATTGGAAGCAATAACATAATGAAGGAAGCTTTCCCATTTAAATCTCTACAACATTGTGGTTATAGGAAGAATATTGCACTGTGAGATATATTTTTCATTGTTGTCTTGGTAACACTATGTACACCGGTCTTTGTTTACTTAGGAAAGGAGACAATTATCTCAAATATTTATGTATCTGATGCAATGAGATTAAATCAAGTATGTTTCACTTTTATTTGAGATTCCTGAAGTTTATTGTAATTGTTTTCTATTCAGCAAGAGTCTGAAAGGATGCCTGAACTTATATAAAAAATTCCATCTTTTATCTATTTAAGCTTTGATGTGGTAAATTATAAATGAAGGATACTACAAGAGTATATGTTTATGTGATGGTGCTGACCTTGGTATTTGTGAATGCATTTTCTGTTTTATTAGTTACAAACTTACTGTAACCAAATACTTTGGTAAAAAATCAAACCTACATGAATTTTGAATGTATAATGTATCTCAATTTGATGTACAATTATTAGACTGAATTTGATACCATTGCAGCAATTCAGATCATGAGAAATATATAATGATGAGTTTAGACTAAACAGTCTGACAACAGTGCATATGGCTACAATACTTTTTTGTCAACCTCTTTGCCAAAATAATTTTTTGTCAAAATGTGTTTCTCCATGTACCATCTGCTCATGCAATTATATGAAACATGAATCATGTTTTTATTTTATAAATATGTACATTGTATGAATAT